ACTCAATCTTGCAACATCTACTAGTTTAATTGAAGCAAAATTTGGTGAAAGTAAGAAAGACTTATATATATATATATATATATATATATATATCAAAAATAAATTGAAATATTTGAAGATTTCAACAAAGAAAAAATTATTATTGAAAGATCAGCATTCAAGTTGGAAAAGAAAGGTGGCCAACATCTAAGAGATTTTGAGAGCTTTTCTTTCAATTGGTGAATTTGATTCTTTTTAAATTTTGTAAGCTTGTTAATTTCTTGTGGATTGAGATTTGAATAAAATTTTAGTTAAGATCAATGATTTGATTAATATTTTTGAGGTTATAAAATAACTAAAATAATTGATTAAAATTGAATTAAGATTTTCTTGGATTTGTTTAAAATTTGATTAAAATTTAGTTAGAATTTCATTAGGATTTGGTCTAGGGTTTAGAATTTGGTTAAGGTTTCATTATAATTTGGTTAAGATTTGGTTAAGGTTTTACTATAATTTGATTAAGATTTGATTAAGATTTGATTAGAATTTGGTTAGGATTTATTTAAGATTTGGTAAAGATTGGTTTAAAATTTCATTAAGATTTGGTAGGATTTGTTTAGAATTTGTTGATGGTTACATTAGGATTTAATTAGGATTTAATTATTTTTTCTATTTTTAATATTTTAAAACTATTTATTTGATATATTTTTAGGATTTTTTTATTATATATATTCTTTTAAGATTAATTTATGATTTCTTTATGTTTTTTTTTGTAAGTTCTTTGAATCTTCTTGTGGAGTTTAATTAAAAATTGATTAGCATTGTTATAATTTAATTGAAGTTTGTTTAGAATTCTATTAGAGTTATTAGGATCTTCTTATTGCAAGTTCTATTTTACCTCCCACAATTAGGTGCATTCTCAAGCAAACTTCATGAAATACAACAACAATGTAGTTGATATATTGAGAAAGTGTGGGCCGGACTGGCTATGATTACTATTTGTGGTGTCATACTTCCAGCCTTGATGATGAGCTTTTGCTGTACAATGTCAAAAACTTAGGAGTTCTTAGTGAGCAAGTCCAGCTCTAAGAGAACTTTACAGCTGCAACCTTACAGCCGTACCCTATACATTGGTACAACTTCTCCAATTCCAAATACAACCTGCCGATGGAACTTTGTACCAACCCCATGGCGTAGTCTCCATCCACATTACTGTTGTATGTTGTAGGTTAAGGCACCACCATAGAGGCCATTGTCAACACCAGAGACCTGAGACACTGTCTCTCAACTATCCAAGATTTTACAATAGAGAGCTTTTGAGATGGCGCCATGCAGTTGAGTGCAAAAAATGTAATGGACATCATAGCATTGTTCCGTGGTCTTTGAACGTTGTCCACATCTGAGCCATAGTGCTATACAAATGTGCGGTTTAGTTTGAAGGCTTGGGTGTGGATTGCTCAACTGATAACCGTCGGAACTCAGAGAGTATATTGAGCATGAAGGGGTGCAGTGGACACGTCATAGCGTTGTGCCCCATCTCATTGGAAATACTGCAGGGTAGCAGTCTGCGCATGAAGGGGGTCTTTTTGGCGCCGTTGGTCGAGTTGTTGACATTTTGAGGTTGCCAGTTCGCAGTGGCTCAGAGAAATTGCAGTTGTTCAATGATGTCCTCAAGTGCTGAATCAAGATCATGCTCATCGAGCTTGAATTCGGGAAGGGCTTTGGTGGTTGTTCCAAGGGTAGTAACTAGTGTTGCCTTGTACAGTGGGGTCGATTTTTTCTGGTCAGTGATGCGTAAGAATGTTATGCACATCTTCAAGTGCTTGAGCATTGCATCATCGTCGGTGAACTGATCCACCTATGCCTCGCGCATGAGATCCAGTGGGAGAGATCATATAAAAGGGGCACGGGCAATATGCCGCATGAATTCTCCCTCGTCAATGGTGGCTAGCTTGGCACGCAAAATGAATCGCAAGAAGTGCAAGTCAAGGTTTTCTTTGTGTTTGTATTCTATACTTTCAAGAAAGTCTCATGCGGCATTGTGTTGATCAGCCGAGACAAATAATTTTTTGCTCAGATTCTGGACTAATGCCCAACTGCTTGGGATGATAGTATTTGCACGTGATTTGAATAGATCTTTGGCGTTGGTTTGTAGACAAGTGAGGAGCTGTGAGATCCAATATGAATCTAGCGTTGTGTATGCGTTTGCCACTGTTGAAATCGTGCAGGAATGCCATGAAGTCGATCGAGAATATAGTTGCTGAAGGAGAGTGCTGGTAGACAACCCATGTTGTTTTCTGAGCTTGGCGTGGGCACGGGGAATGTGACACCATATCAAGGGCGATGGATATTTGCTGAAACCAGAGGAGGTCGAGGGAGACTAGAAAGGACTAGGATGGAGGTGGTCGTGGTGCTCGATATGGAGGCAAAAAGGAAGGCGAGGGATGTGCTGCCGATTGTGGACAATGGAGTCGGTGTGGTGCCTTGTTGTATGAGGTAGGCTTGTTCTTCCGGGGTCATTGTGAGTAGGGCACGTAGTAGTAACTCAGCAGCTACTAGGTGGACATATTGCGAGGTGTCGTTTTGTTCAATGTTGAATTCTTTGTCCATAGCTTCGTCGAAAGTTGTCAAGGTCAAAGATTTGATTATGGTGGAAAACTTGTCGGTGGTGGAGAACTCCATATGCGGCACCACTTAGTCCAACGCTCTCAAAATGGGTAGCTTGTCAAGTTTGTTAGTCATGAATACTGTAACCACAGGGTAGCGTTCTCCTTGAGGATGGGTTGTGTGTTCCATCTTGATGCCGAAATTTCAATATAGAGTTGTGTAAATGTTTGGGAGAACAGAGCACTGCCACGCCGTGAAAAGCCCTTTCTGGTCTGGTGCCATGCAGTAAGATAGATGTACTAGGGCTTTTCACGTATGCTGATGAGAATGTTGTGCATGCCGAATGCGGATGCATCAAAGTGGCCAATATCCCGATACTTCAAGTGGAGAGGGTCTATTGTACCCGGAATCGTTAGTCATTGTACCAGATTTGATATCTTTGGGCGTCTATGTAGTGCTCGGGACTAGGAAAGGTTGCGGACCTCTTTGCATGATGCTAAGTGTTTCTCTAGATATAAAACAAGCGTTAACAGATAGTAAGGCTCAACAGGTGTAGTATTGAGCTTCTGTCGAGAGGGGTGGCTCTCTTATCTAGTTGCCGGATGATTGGGAGCTCAACTAGAGTTGCGCCATGGTGTCTCTCCTGGGCGTCTTCCACTACTTGTGAAGATGACGCAGTTTCGTGGTTGAGAACATGTATGTCTTGTCGTGTGTCTATGGTAATCAGTGATAGTGAATTGCTTTGGGTTAGCAGTACCGTGTAGCATTGGCGATAGAGATCCGTGAGACTGAGCGATGTCGTCTATCTCCAGCGTCCTGCTCCCGTCAAGGTTGGTGTCTGGCTTGAATGTTGTTGTGGAAATGCGCCTAGATTGGTGAGTTGAAGCACCATCTCTGCATGCAATTTTGCTACTCGTGTCTCCGTCGTCTCCGGACTCTCCTGAGGGGTTGCAAAACCACTCTCATTCACGACTTCCAATAATTAAGTCTCCTAGCCCAACTACTCTTCAACTGCTCCCGTACATCTCAAAGTTTCCCAAATTATTCGGTTGATTCTCTTGAGATTTCTTGTGTTCATTTGAGTTCTCTTAGCCTACACATGATTCCGGAAGCCGTAATCTAATCCTTGCGCATACTTGGCGTCTCCACCAAATGTATAGTCCAGCCTTAATCATGTCAAGGCTTGGACAAAAACTACACATTAATAATTACATGGAAAAAATTAAAAACTTATACTCTGTTGAGGTTTGAGTTGTTCTTTGGAAAGTGGCTATCATGATTATAATTATGAAAATATTAATTTCAAATTTGTAATATATGACTATAATAATAAAATAAAAAAAAGGATATGAAATCTAAATTATTAATTCTACTTCAACAAAGTATTAGTAATAAAATAAAATATTTAATTACATTTCACTTACAATATTTGTACACTTTAAATTATATGCATTGTACTCAAATAATCTCTTTCTGTATATGTGATTAATAGATTTGGACTCTTACACATTTTTTTTTGAAGAGTTAACAAAACTTTTGCACATTGTTATAAAGAATATTATAATTGTGCTTGTTTTAAAATGTCAAGATAAAGGTATTATTGGCTTCTTTTGATGATATTTTGGAATATTTGATTAATTGAACCTCTTCATATGTAATTTTGTGCTTTATTAGTGATTAAAGTTCGATATATACTTTCTGTTGTACAACAAAAAACTATGTAAGAGAAGTGATATCAATAAATATGACTACGATTAATTGCATCTTATTTTTATGTACAATTTAAATACACTTTGCGTTACTCCTTACATGTAGCAATACTATTATTTATTATTATACTTTTAGGATAAAAAAATGATTAGAATAAATTTATAACTATACACATGTATAATGAAATAACAACAATACTTACTAATTAGGAACTTTACAATGCTTAAATTATTCAAAGTCCATGTATGAAACATAGAACAAAACTTAAAGATAAAAATAAAACATTAATTTTTTTGAATTATTAAGGCATCCTTTATTGTTAGATCTCTAAATTAAAAAATATTACGAAAGTAGTTAGATATAAGTCGAAGTCCTATAAAAATATCTTTCATTTTTATCCCATACCCATCTCTGATTCTAATTATACCCAACAACTCAAACAATAATAAAGTTGAGCAAAAAAAGAAACAAAACAAAAATATCTTCACACGATGTAAACCTTACTTTGAGACAACAACCATCTCGATCAACATGAAGCATTGACGTAAAATAACTAATGAAAAACCCAATAAACGAAAAAGGAACATGGAAGGAAAAACGAGTAACAGAGATTGCAATCAGTATTGTCAGTAAACCAAGGGTGGCCAGGTTTAGAGAGGAGAAGTGACTATTGGATAGCCTTTCACTCCATTCACAATACGCCATTTTCCAAAACTTCTTCGTTTCTCATAATCTTCACAATGATAAAGAACGATCAATGGATTTCAAGTCACGTTTCTTACAATACGAACTGCAAGTCAACTCTGCAAATGATGCCTAATATACCGTAAGCTATTGTCTACACAACGGATTTTAATCTTCTGCACTTCCCTGTATGAGTTGAAGGATAACTTTCATAACGACTTTGTGATTGCCACAAACATACCATCACTGCTAAATTACATCAACTCAAACGCTCAGCAACAAGAGAGTAAGGTGGTAAAGGGACGGACAAAGAGAGAGCGAGAGGGAGAAAGAGAAGGAGAGAGAGAGAGAGAGAGAGAGAACCATCTGGAAGGGAATTCGTAGAAGAGAAAGATATGTATATATATACATAGATATATATATTCACAAGTGAAGACCAAAATTTCAGAAGCTGAACCTTACGAAGGATCAACATATGAAGGGTAAGGACATGATAGGCTTTCACAATGTTGTCAAATGATGGGTAATCTAAAACCAAGCGAACCCTCCGTAGCGATCCACTCAACAAAACAGCTTACCATCATTCAATGTCACCACTCCCTCCGTTCGATGCTCTCCGAATCTGTTCAAACAAATATTCGTCGTCATTATCATCCCAATCGTAGTCGTCGTCATCGTCTACGTCGTCTTCGTCTTCGATCTCGCCCTCAGACCCGTCTCCATCCATGATACTATCCAAGTTCTCACGTAGCCTTCCTATTGAAACCAGATCTAACATTCGTTCTCTCAACGATACCAAAGGATCTTTTTCTTTCAGCTCAGAATTTTTGTACGCTTCGTGAAGGAATACGGTGTTGCTGTTCCCCTTCAAGGATACGTAAAAGTATTCAGGGTGTCTTACGAGCAATCCCCATATATGCTGAGACAAGTGGAAGTCTCTTCGAAAATGAGAAAGATGACCCAATGCCATCTTCTTATCTAATGTTAGACTTAAAAGCTCGTGTACAACTAGAACAGCAGCCTTCTCAGCTTCAGGTGTACCTTGTTTTAAATTGTTTTTTTCAATTCCCTTGTACGGGGAAATCGCATTAAGTTCCCGAAATTGAAGAAGTTTTAACATATCGGCCTTCTTAATTTTTTGATTCCCTGGCAATGTTAGAGTTTTCTTCTGAAACCTAGGGGTTAGTGCAAATATAGACTCCTGCATTTCTATCTCCTCACCTAGACTCCTTGCCAATTTCTTTTCTAGCTCTTCTCTGGCTTTCTGGTTATCCTGAGCAGATTTCTCCAGAGCTGTGACTGCTAGTGCTGAATCCCACTCCTCCAGAATTAAAAGCGGGCCAAGGCCACACGATCCAACCTTAAAATACTGACTATGTCTGGACAAGAAATCCGAAGTAGCGAAATCATCTGGCAAACCTAGCTGTTGCCGGATATGTTCGATCTTTGGTATCGCGATGCTTCTATCAATGGACATCATCAGAAGTTTCCGTAATTTCGTTACAGCGATATGCTCCATCTCCTCAAGCAGTTCCTTCTCCTTAACATACTGCATCTGATATTGAGACGTGAACCGAAGGTACTCTACATCTCTTTCCTCGTACACTTGAAACACCGCTGGGAACCTATGTAGCAGGGGAAGAGTTTTTTTCTTCCCTTTCAATCCTAAATATTTCCAATACTTCTCTAAATCTTGCAACGACATTATCTCACCAGGTTGCTTCACAAGAATCTCTTTAATCTTAATCATGTGCTTCAGCTTCTTCTCTCCATCAATTACGGAATCAAGCTTGTAACCCTTCTTTCTCTTTATGACGGCCGTGATCACCAAATTCTTGCATTTTTGCTCAGAAAAGGAACAAGAAGAAGAGGAAGAAGAAAGAGAGCACCTCAGACTCTGCGTGCATCCAAAAAATGAATGACGCTTTGCAATTACTCCCGGAGCTGCAAAAAAGGACGCTGAGACTGATCGCCTGTCCATCCGCATGGCTCCATGCAAGGTCGACGCCACATGCAACTCCATCTCTACCCGCTCCTCTATGCTTGAAATTCCATCTCTACCCGCTCCTCTACGCTTGCAACTCCATCTCTATTCTGCCTCCAACGCCATGTTGGCAAACTTTTGGACCCCACCCCCTTCCCCCCCCCCCCCTCCCCCCCCCCCCCCCGCTCACTAAACCCTTCTCGACAGACGCCTGAAGACGACGGATACGCCGGAAGACGCGAACAGACGCCGGATGCAACCTCGCGTCACACCATCACGTTCCAACGTTTGCTCCCAGTGGTTCCCACACAAAAACCCAGCTTATTTATTCACTAGCTTCATTCTGTAGGACTAGTCTCAATATCATTCATAGAACTCTGATATGATATTAGAAGAGAATACTTATTCACTATCATACCATAAATTTTGTTGATATAACTCGGAGGAAAAAAAAACTGTGTGTCTGTGTGTGTGATAGAGAAGAGAGGTATCAATTGTTGTTAATCATATTCTAAGTAATAACCTAAAGTGTAAATGAAGATTTGAAAATTAAAATTATTACACTTGTCTGAGTGTAAGGTTGTTTTGGTCATATTATCCATATTATAAATGTGATTTTGTCATGACATTAATAGAACGTTAATTGGATTGATTATGTTTTTATTATCTGCATTTATGAAAAAAAAAATAATAATAACAATGATAACATCCTAAATATAAAATAATGTAAAGTATTATAATTCAGATGCTTTGCTCAATTTTTACTATATATATATATATATATATATATTGAATATTTATGAGTTTGAAATTTGTGTGAATTTCCATATCATTCAAAAGTATATAATTTCATTTATCTGGTGTTAAACAAAAACTAATGTGATCAGAATACACAAACTAATAAAAAATTACATGTTTCATGTGAAACTCATATATTATTTCTTGCAGCTTAAACACGCATCACATTTACTGCATGAATCAATAATTTACTGTAAAAGACTGTTGGTATAATTATTTTTGAAGAATTAATTTTAAAAAAAAAAAAAACATATAAAACATATCAAATTAATTAATAAGTATACTTTTCTACTAATTAAATTTATGTGGTTGTTTGCACTAAAATAAGATGTTCTAGGTGCATTCTAAAAAGTTGTGTTTTATGATTAGTAAAGTATTTTTTTCTTTAATTAATTACTATTTTAATATTTGAAGAAATAAATACTTTACTTATTCTTTCTTCTTCATTTCGATATTTCATGATTATAATGATAATTATTATAATTTCTATTTTAAATTAAAATTAGTTACTGAAAAACTGTAGTATCATCTCAAAGAATAAATTATTAGAAGTTAAACCCAAAACATAATGCTTTATAATAAAGTATTATATTAATGTTTTATTGAAAAGAAGAGCCTTGAGATCAATTTTAGCATTTTTGTCAATGATACAATATATTATTCGGAATTGCATGTGATCATTTATGATAAATGTAAATATCAGATATTTATAGAAAAAAATAGGATGCATTACAATGAGCTTTTTTTAAAAATAATTTAGATTAGCAAGCCCTACACAATGCAAGAAAAATATTAGCTTAGTTGAAAATAGTCTTATTTTTTCTTTTGGTTGTATTGAATATCAAATTCTATAATATTATGTATTCCTAAAACCAAGAAGCGTATTACATCAAATTCCACAAACATGTGGAATTTTATATTTGTATTTTTAAACGAGAAAGGAACCTTTTATAGATGTCACACTTAAACTGAAATCCCTTGTGTTTTTAAGTTGATTGAAAAATCTCACATGATCTTGAGACCATTGAAGTTGGCAATGCGTATTCTCGTACTGCATCTGCAACAACTCATGCTCAGTCATTAAAGGAGCCAATGTAAGCTCTTTGTTGACTCTAGGATTTTTACGCAATGAGTTGACTAGACGTCGAATATCATGCTTTAGTACTTCATTGAAACTTTTTTACGATCAACACAAAATAAGGGTTGACATCTACGTTTTGAAGTTGAGAAAGAATACCATCCACGACCAAAAGCCAACTCCTAAGTCAGAAGCCATATCTGAGATCATGTGAGACGCATTTACTTCGGCATTCAAGCAACAAAGTTGCCTCTGTTGGTGTGAACTGACAGTGTAAGCTTCTACACGTAAACATGACACAGTACATTACAAACCCAAGTATAGTAGTGATTGTAAAGTCAAGGGCAAGATATTACACGCTCTTTCAAGAACACTTAATGTGACGGTGCGCATTGTATGTACGAATGGCATGTGCACAAAATTGGGTTCAGAACCAGATTCTGTACACATCAAGAGCAGACGCCACATGGTATCATTGAAAAGCCCTTCGTCCAAACTGTGGCCACAAAGGTCGAAAATGAAATTGAACTAATTACATTCTCTGTAAGCTTGTCTGCATTTAATAGAATCAAGCCTAGCACAATTGGATTGCCTAAAGCCCTTAATAATCTACAAATATGCAACTGCCAGCAAGTAACAAATGACTAGCTATACGCACCCGAGATTCCCATTTTATAGAAAGACAGATGTCTAAATGAAATTACGGATAAGAAGTCTTTCTCCACGGTAAGCAGCTATTCGATGTAATCTGGAATTTAATAGAGGATGAGGAAACCATGATGAGAAAGTGCCCAGGATTTGCCTCACGTAACTACCAATGTTGCTTGGTGTGTGTTGGCGATTCACTGAACTCCGGAGGCCTTGATTCTGATTGCAATGTTACAATCATTCTGAGATGATAGCAGCCAATGTAGCCCTTCTTAACTTCTTTCAAAACAGGAAGCATATGCACCAATATCGAAGTTATGCAGACATGCAGACATCCTGAACGTCGAGGAACTCGTAATTAATAACAGCAGCTTAAATCCTCTCAAACGTCAATTCCTTCGACATCGGGACGCTCAAAACGGATGTCAACCATCCGAAAAGAACCTTCCTTTTCCTCGCAATCAAAAGCCTCCAGCTCGGAATGTACAAGATCCCTGCTAAACTCTTGGTACTGGGGCCTGACTCTTCGGACCGGTACCGTCACGGAGCAAACTGTGTTGAGATCTGCGTCGGAGGTGACGTTGAACTGGACTTTCTCCTCTGATTGAATCTCTACGAAATCTGAAAGGGCACCAACGATGTTGGTCACGATCTTCTTCTTTGCTTCCTCATTCACAGTGCACCTGTCGGAGATTAGAATCATTTTCAGACGCTGCTTCGCAACGTCTTTGTTCGAGGACGGCTTGGCTTTCGCAGGAAAAAGAACAGACCATGCACGTGTGATACGCTCCATAAAAGTTTGGCTCTTGCCACCCGTAATTTCATCCTCTTCATTGCCCGTGGAGAAGTCAGCTCTAGAGTTTTCTACTCTACTCTTCATGGCGATGCAACGAGACATATTTCGATAGTGTGCGTGGCGCAGAAAATGTACACGAGCGCTTGGTCCTTGAGCGGACTGCAACATAACTCTAGAACATTGTGAAATCGGAACAACATGGCCACTTCCTTTTACATCCTGCACACATCAGAGTACTAAGGTCAATTTGTAGCAAAATCTAGAAACCCACGCACACACGGCTTTACATTGTTGCCCAACCCAAATGTGTTCTGCCTCAAGCCCACCTTGAGGGCTTCCTGGTGTATTTTTTTGTTACTTTATATTTCAAATGCTGGCATAACAGGAATATGGAAAGATACGGAAAAGTTTGTTTCCACTCGGGGAAAACTCTCAGAAAAACACAGAGTTCTGTAACGCCTTGAAACAGGCAAAAAGACCTCAAGTACTCGACATAACCCCTACTGCGTCATATTCTTTATTCTACCAAAAAGAAAAACAGAAAAAAACACCAACTCCACTACTGTAGCTTCGCCGTTTCTCAGTCAGAAAAGACCAGTACTTTTGACGGTAATTGTATCCCTGGAACGACACATCCCAAGTCTACAGACTTCAGCGAGGTCGCTACCACGGTGCACATTGTGCGAGCCTCCCAATGTAAGCACCACGAGAGTTAGCAGCAATCAGTGCCACTTGAGTCGGTCCTTCCTTCACGCAAGCTGTGCATTCCAATGCACAGCGGCGCACATAAGCTTTGCTTCAGCCTCCAACGCTGTGCTGCATCGCCGTGGTACATCGACTGAGATCACCGATTTCTTGGATCTGGTTGCCATAGAGATGGCGAGTTAGGGTTTCAGAGCGTTTTGTCTCTTCCGACTAGTTGGACGCTTTTGGTTTTGAATCGGAATCAAGCGGGAATTGAATATCTATGATATGTTTGGCATTTCATAGATACACGGGACGCTGCTTGAAGGTCTTCGTGTCACACCACAAGTCTGCTCAAAAATATCATTCGATTCTTGAATGGAGAGATTTATTTCATAAATGATTTTTACACATAGTAGCCCACTTTACTGAGCTGTGGTTCAAAAGTCTCATGCAAATTTCTTGTTTGGTGAAGAAAATTTATTTTTTTAAGAACTTTCACCTTTGGAACTGATATCAACGGCTTGTCGATGTCTTTTGCCTTCACATTTGTACTTAATGGTAAAAAATTGCAACAACATTCTTGACAGAATAATTTTTGCACAAAACATGAACATAAGAACACACGTTTCTGCAATGTCATGAACATCATATTAATAATCAAGTTGTCTAAGAGTCGATTTCTAATAATAAGTAACAAAGAAAAAAGAAAAAAAGAAAAAAGAAAAAAAAGGGATTCTAGAATGCAGTGTAAATATAACATCTCGAATTTGCATCACATCATTATCATATTTGTTCAACAACACAGTTTTGTACGCATTTTTCATCTATTTTGATTGTTACAAAGCTTTAATTTTAATGAGGTGCAAATTATCATCATTGGTATGTTTCAAAGATCACATATAAATTTATCCTTCTTTATACATGTTCATAAATCTTGATTTAGGTGATAAGAGTGAAATTTGCCAAAACATTGAACATTACTACATAGTAATTGGATCTGTTCTTCATTGAGAAATGCATATTACTGATGGCAACAGGTTTTGGAATGTAACGTTCTATACATTTAAACGTTCAAGCTCACCTTCTGAGGAATAATACACAATAGTACAATCAGAAGTAAAGATGTCTTTGCCTTGACTACAACTAAGATAGTCCTAAAACTTCTCTACGTGAGGTATCTACCTTTACGGTGTGGCTTACACCACTACATTATGGGTTTCCTTCTGTTTTTGCTCTGCTTGGATTTTTTTTTTTTTTTTTTTTTTTTTTTTTTGACAATCTATATTTAGGGTACACACCCAATGATGCTTGTAAATGCCCATTTTGAGAAACCCACAGAAGTAAAGCTAGACTTCACCATGAGTGGTAACAAGACATGTCTTTGGTCAATGAGAATAGCAACCCAAATCACTCCAAACTCATCTAGTTTCCCATTAGTTCAACAAATCAATTCTTTCAAACAATCATACTTGTGCCAATCGAGCAGATACGGCGGCCAGAGAAAATGGTCCAGATGCTGCTTTTGCAAACTGGACCTTGCGTACCAACATCTTCCACCGCATCTCCTCCTTTCGGCTGGGTTGCTGTCCCACCCGTTCCCTAAAATGCCTACACATTAAACCCTCAAGAGCTCAAAATAATGGAAATCAAAATGGTTGGGATATCTGAAGTTTGGTGAGTACGCCAATCTGAATTAATAAACATCTTTTGATGGCATAAAAACTTGCAATAGAAGGTGATCAAGATCATTTACCGGCAAAGGGGCACTTTGCACGACTCTTGCACAGTGCACATGCGGGAGTGGAGCTCTAGAAGCTGCCACATGCGCTTACAGTGCACGCATCCACCAGAGACCTTCAGCTTGCAGGCAGCAAAGTGGCGTACCAGGGACTCCAACCCTTTACAAGCTGGATAAGCGCAATCCCCCTTGCGTTCATCCAAGACTTTATCGTGAGGACCAATGGACCTACACCCGTCGCGACATATGTGTACCAGAGCTTCCATTGCGTCGTGCAGTTGCGTATACACTTTGTCTTCCTCCCGCTTCCGCAACCGATCTCGCTTTTTCTGCACATGTCAGACAAGGTTAGTAAATGCACAACATTTAATTTTGAAGTGAAAACCATTCTATATGGATTGCTTGGATTTGAAGGACAACTTACAGCGGCGAGACTTACGGAATCAAATTCAATCACTGCCTCTAATAGATCCTGTTCAAGACCCGGCTCGGATTCTTTCATAGCCCTCCAGCCATCTGATCGCGCGACATCCTTGAAGTCGGACACTATTCGCCGTAAACACAACAGATAAAGCCGAGGCTCATCACATAACCTGAAAGCGTCGCATATTTAGCACAGTGAAATAGACCTCACAGGGTAACAATAAAAGAAAACAAAAACAAAAGAAAAAACACACACACACAAAAAAAAAAAAAAAAAAAAAAAAAAAGGATACGAGAAAACCAACAAACAAATGACGAAGATTATCTGCTACCTGCAATAAGCGACCCTGTTTAGCTTCAAAACAAAGAAAAATTTAGGAGATTATGCCGGCTTCAGATGAAAGGTCTGTGACAACGGACGTTATGAGATGAGATGATACCTGGATATTTGCAAGACATCCACCACATTCTCAAGATTTAGCAGGCCTTGCTCAAAGCTGTCAGTACATATGCGCTTCAGGGCCGGAATCCTATATGCGTGAGCAAGCACTATCAAGTGAAGCGCAAACTCTTCCACATCGGATTGCTCACAGCTGTTCCAAAATGCACCAGGAAATTTACCAACACCCACTTCATACCAAAAGAAAATACTAACAAAACCTATGACGACATTCAATCTCACCATTGATGTCCAAAAAAAATGATAGATCAATTTTAATTCAGAAAAGTCGTCATCAGTTTTCAAGCATCAACTAACACAATTCAAGCAGCACACACAGCTTCAGACTATCAGCGGCAAACAATTGTGCCAATCACTAGGTTTACATACCGAGAAGAGTACAAAAAACGTAAGAAACATCGAACCGCTTGGAAAGGAACACCACGGATACTAATTACAGCATGCCTTGAAAGTTGGAATTGCTCCAGGAGTAGACATTTAAGTACAGAGGAGCTGCTCATCTGCTCAGAAAAATTCACAGATTGGAGAAATATAAACCCCTAATTGAATGAATCGGCAAAAACCCATAAGCACGTATAAACCAACACGGATAGACAAAGCTTACCAAGACCGTTGAATGAGCGCCTAGTTGGTGTCCATCATTCGTACAGACTGTAACATCAGTATTAATACCTTCAAAGAACGCTCTGTCCCACGTATCAATGGTTGACTTAAGAACCAAAACGGGACCACTTCTACTACACTCTTGTGGGATCCTCTTCAAAGTACTGGACAATTTAACGAGCTGCCGGCGAAACCTCGGTTTTAAGGAAGGAGGTGGCGGGGGAGCAGGTATTCTTCCAGGGGTTGTGCTTTTGACAGCAGGAGACGATGATGACGGACCTGGTGCCAAAACTGGAGATCGCTGTTGCGAGGATGACGAAGCGAAACTGGATTGCTTTGATAATCTTAGGTCACTCGAAGATGACGATGAAGCCAATTCCTGCAAGCTCGGGTACTGTATTTTGCCTGAAGGAGGCGTGGAAGAAGATTCTTCAGAGACGATTTCTTCTGGTGGAGATTGAACCGAGTCATATATTCGAGTCCCGTCTGCTGACAAGCTCCGGTATACAGATGGAGATTTCTCCTTAAATGACGATGCAGCTCTAAGCAGAGCAGCGTGAGCTTCTGAGTGTGATTGTGACGGAAGAGGTGCTCGTCCAGAAGTGGAAGCACTATCCAGCCCGAATGGTCCAGATGAAGCCATACCCCCCGACCCTGCAGAATTAGGATTATCGAGATGCACCCAGAATTGCACTTCTTTTCCTCTAGTGGTGAGAATCATGCTTTCCAGAACCAAATTGCAAGTCTAACTGAGACCTGGACAGGATTTACACCAGGACAAAAGCACCTGATTAGCTCAGGAAGACATATGAGCCCACAATGGACGAGTGCGAGGGATTATACTTCAGTCACATGTCAAACCCTAAGTCCCATTTTTGTTCGAAAATGCTTGTGGTAGTAAACAGGTTGCATCACCGCAATGGCTTCAATGGAAGCCATAACCAAGAGAACACAGGTTTCGTTGAATAACTGGTGCAAACCAGAAAGTCCACAAGCACCCGAAGTCGTTTCAGGAAAAAGCTAAAGCTTATTAACCTCTTCCGTCTCCGGACAGGATTCCAACTTAGCTATTCATACCCAACACCGATTGTGTGCCCTGCGCCAATATGCTCGCGAAATTAGCTAGCACAAATTCTTTTCCAAACACCGCTTCGGTGAACAAGGTCAAAACGTCCAGTATTCTCTGCACAATTCAATACGAGCATTGATTGTTATCTCACTGGACTTTGTATACGGGAACGGCAAAGATAAGATCTGGCACATACATAGGTGATAATCAGAGTCCGATTAAACCTAAGCATCAAGGAAGGAAGGTTCAAGAGCTGGAGGCCATAGTCACTAAACAAATTGAGGTAATGGCGAAAAGTAAATGTCGGGACTGCTGATGTCTACAACACTAGAAGCTAGATCGCCGTCACAGTCAACATCACCGAACATTAATTAGAATGAAAATTGACTAAAGTCATTTGTTAAATTGACAGGCATTCCACACAGTGTACTCAGACATTGAGACTGATAAGACAAACCTTAGATAGGTATTCCCTGGTCAGGTATCGGTAATGATTCCTCACTTGATTAGTTGGCTAATTGTGAGAAGAATATACCTGGGCATGCGGTCAACTCACTTCTAACTCACAACGCAAAATTCCAACAATAACAAGCACCGCTACGGTGCGTTGCAAGCGCGGCAACAATGTGCACGCAGAGATCCACTTCCTATCTACCGTCTGCCCCCTCCTCACCATCTTCTACTCTCATGTCTCTACGGCCGCTACACACCTACTGGTCAAGTCACATGAATCCAAACACTGCGAGTCCGTGAATTACCCTGCCCTGGTTCAGTAACCTTCACCGAGACTCTACAACCTCCTCCCTTTTTCTTCGGTAATCGCGGACAATCAGCTAAGGATCAAGGCAACGTCAAAAGTCCCACACAAAAACACGCTTGTGCTTTAAGAAATTGGCAAATTGCAGGCACCCCCCGTTTGATTTGTGCCGAATATTCTTGACTACCTACTCGCGGCCTGCGCCTGCGAAAGACCTCACCATAGTGGTAAATTTCGATGACGGAGCGAGACTGAAAGAAAGCAGACTCATCAACTGCACAGAGCGATGGACTCCATCGCGTATTCACGGAGCTTCGAAGAGACCCTCGCGTCGAGGCATCAGGTGAGGGTATTCGATTCTACCCGCGCGATGAAACTCGTCCCCGCCCTTTCTCGATCGCCTTCTTGCCATGTTAACGAGCTTCCCTGAAGTTTCTACGAATGGTAGGGTAAATGAAAATTGTGTGCTTGTGGCGGTATAAGATAAATAAAGGATCTAGGACTTGGAGATTACTTTTCCTCGATAATTTGTTCAGGAAATAAATTTGTAAAAAAAATCAAAGATGCTACTAGTTGATACTTTTTTTCACTACTTATGTTGAAAGTTTACTCTTTATGAATAACTAAGTTTATAATTTAAGATCATATATATATATATATATATATTAGAAAAAGTGATTTTATTTATATATATTATTATTTTGATATTATCATTTTATTACTATATCCAAAAGGCCATGTATACAACCAATTATATATTCAATACATATATTGCCACATATAACCATAATCAATGTCAATATATTACTTTTAAAGTTGTTTCTTAAATTTTAATAATAAATAAAATTATATATATATATATATATATATATATATATATAAACATATATATGAAAAAAATTAAATTATGATGTTTCAAAATCAATAGTAGCATTCAAATAAAATAAAGAAAAATTCATCCTTTATGCTCTTAAAAGATGTTATATTAATTCTAATGCCTATGTAATTTTACAAATTACCAACATATCTTTGTTAGTGTGTCAAGTAACTACCACCTAAACAACTATTCTTCTATTGTCTATTGTATAAAAATCATAGTATTGATTTTCTACATTTGTTGTCATTCATATTCATTGCCTCAAAAAACATTAGATTAACATTGCTTACATTTTCCATATTTGTTTGTACCTTGAATTGAAAGCTCAAGTATTGTATTACTAAGATCAATGTTAAATTTTATTATAGTGTTGCAAATAAAAATGATAAATTATAAATAACATCCAAAAAAATTGGTGATGATTTTTTTATAATTTTTATCTTCTATCTAAAAGCACTATAGTTCTTTGTCATATTTGTTTTATTCATAATGAATCTTCACTTCTTTTTTCTTTACCAATCAAAATCCTTGTTCTTCTATTAAGCCAAAAATTCTCTCAATATAATAAATACTTCAATTATGTACACTATTCAATGCAATAATTGGACAATAAGAAATGTAGATCCAAGATTATATGCCCCTTTGAACATTATAAAGGCAATTTTAAATGTCACCACCTTTAAACATACAAAAATAAGCATTCATTAATCTTGCAAAAACTTAAATTTTAAATTTTATATTGAAATGGTTTATTTTTTTTCTTGATAAAACATAATCATATTAGAAGTTGTGGATTATCCACTTTTAAATTGATATTGTTATTGGATTTTTTTTGTCCACAAGTCCTTTTCTTTACTTATCTTGAGTAATATTAGATATATTATTTTATTATTTTATTATATTATCATAGCAAAGCTTGTTGAAATAAAGAATATAATGACATACATGGAAGAATAGATGAAAAAGTTAATCTTTGTAATACATCAATTTAATTTACTACCACAAGTACCAATAAGATTTGCAAAAAGTGAAGATATAGAGATAATTGAAGCTGCTTCAATACCTACATCCAATTATATTACTTCTTTTCTAAAGGAATATTATTTAAGCATCGAAAAACTAATAATTACCTTACTTGAGAAGTTTAATAATACAAGATGAAAATTTTGAGAATTTATAAATCAAATACAACTGATGATTGAACTTCAACCTCAAAGCTATTTAATTCCAAGATCACAAATCAAATTTATTGAAATATGTAAGTCCTATCAATGAATTTTAATTGGTAGATTGATTAAAAACATAATTTTAAGTTATTTAGATATCAAATTATTAAGATTAAAATATTTGTTAAATTATTCAAGTATTTATTAGAATTTAGTAGTGGTTGTAAGTTATAAGAGACTTATTAGAAAAAAGCCATTAAAATGGAATCTTAGTAGGACTTGGAAAAAAATATTTTTGTTGATTTAATATTTATACAAACTATTGGATATTCATAGTTAGTTATTGAGATCAATGTCTACATTGGTCTTCTATTTACATGTGTTATTAATAAAAAATCTATAAATATTAATTAATAATTTAAAAAATATAAAAAATTATCTCATGGCTTTTTAATTATTTTTTATAAAAAAGATTTATAATTAATTATAATTAATTATATTTATTAAAAATTAAAAATTAAAAAATATAGTTTTAAAAATATTATAATAATTTTAAAATTCTATTTAGAATTTATTAGGAATTATTTATGAAATTTTAGAGCAATTTTTAAGACTTCAATAAAAATTAAATTTTATCACCTAGAGAACTATTATAAAGAAATGAATTAAGATTTAAAGGTTTTTAAAGGTTCTTGTACTAATTAGATTTTTTTAAATACAATGGTGAAGTCAAAAATATAAAATTATTAGTTCTAGTAGTAAAAAAAAAAATAGGAGGACCAGCAATTAGTTTAGTCTTTGTAGGAAGAAAGGTGTTCAAGTTCTGTATGAGTTGTAGCACCTTCAATGGAATTAAGAGGATAAGACTAAAGCCTCATAGTCTCTCTAGGACATCCTTATATACTACATGTGAGCCTTGATGAGGCTCTAACTCTTAATCTATAAGCAAGTTATTCTTGAAGTAAAATTTATTTACTTAATTTTTTTTATTATTTATTTCTTATTCTTAAGCCTACATAACTTATTCATAGTTAATTGCATTTATAAATTTCTTATATTATTAAATCGATAGTAAACTTATCTATCTAAAAATATATTTTTTAATTTTTAATTTTAATTATTATTAGATAATAATCTACTAAACATACTATGATTAAGTTTTAGAATATGTGGTTGCTTGATTTTTTTTGTTATTTTCTTATCTCACTTTTTATCATTAATTACAAGAAACTCTTAATTAAGACAATTTTATAATTTAGATTGATATCAAGGACCTAAATCACAATAAATAAAATCTCAATACTCTCTTGCCTCACTTGAAAAGAATAGATATTCATTCAAAATAAGTATAATAGTAAAATTGGAATGGCTATTGCCAAAAAAAAGGACTAGAGACTCTTAAAATAAGACTAAAGGTTAGAAAGGCATTGTCGTATTGTAACAAGACTATATGATGAAAATATAATAAAAAATAATTTTTAATTAATATCTAATTATCTTAGTTCAATAATAATTCAAAATATTTAAACATGGTTTTTATAAAATCCTCTTAATTTATTTTCTTGTTTTAATAGCTAGTAGATTACATGTTGGTTAGTAATTTTACCTTTTAGACTATAGAAACTCATTTACTATCTTAAAAAGACCATAAATTAATAAAAATAATGTGAGAGAGGTAAATAATTAGTACGATTGATACTATAATTAAGTTGAGGATAGGATCGAGCTAAAAAATCTTTAAGATAGGTTAAATTGATACTCAAGGATTGACCATTTGTTGGACACGGTCAAAATCAGACTTCTAGCTACTAAAATGGTTGCCTACGATAAAGTGTAGAGACATTCAAAGATCAGCAATTGAGTTTGTAGAACTATTTTTAAGTTTGTTTCAAAGGCATAAAATTTATTTTCATAGAATTTGAATTGACTTTGCAATTGATTTTCAAAGTCTGAGTTTGTATTAATGACTTTGGATATATGCAATACCATTAGGACTAGTACTTTCAAGTAGTTTGTACAATTGGTATCACATCTATAGTTCAAAATTTGATAGTACTTAGTTGATTAGGTGTGCTAATTATATATATAATTTTATGTTAATTTAATGATATAATTAAGATATATCTAGTTTATGGTACAATAAGATATCAAAAGTTGACATTGTGAAGTTGGATAGATTTTCTATGATATCTAAAGATCTATTAGTCTGAACAAGGTGAAATTGGGCATGGTATTAGAAAACTTGAAGATCAAGCTACATATTAATTTTTATTTGAAGTTAACAATTAAAGACGGAAAAATTGCTATTGGAACATCGAGATCAACTTTCAAGTTGGTGGCCAAATGATATTAGTACAATTATTTGAAGAAAGTTATGAAGGCCTTAAGAATGATCAATTATTAGCATAGACTTTTTATCCTAATATAAAATAATATCATTGGTTGAAAAGACCTATCAACTACCTTCAATCAAAATACAAATCAAAGTATGTAACAAATATAATTTGTTATATCTTACACTTTTATATTATGTAATCCTCACTTCTTGTAAAACTTGTCTCTGAAAGTAATGATAATATCATGAATTTATATACTTACTTCAATAATTATTTAAATAATATGAATAAATAGAAGTATATTAAAATAAATTAAATTAATAATATTTTATAAATAAGCTTTTTAGACTTGATTTAAATTATATAAATATTTATAGGTGATTGATAGGTTGAAAGTTTGGCCAACAAATTGGTCTTGTGTCATAATATTGGTGAGTTATGGTACAAATTGGCCATGTGGTGGACATGTAAAAAACTTGTCTAGCAAGTTAAACATATGTTTCACAAGTTAGACACATATTAGAGGTTGTATAGAAGGTCACCAAATAGCTCTTAATTAGATAGTATATATAGAGGCAAGAGTAAAGTATTATTTATTTTTTTCAACATCTTTCTTGCTTGTAATCTAGTTTTAAGAATTTTTAGTTTTCTAATCTTTGGTAATAGCCATTCCGATTTTTTTTGAATATGTATAATTATTTTATTTTTTATTTTTTATAAAAAAAATATCACTATTTTATTTATATTCTTTGAGTTCTTATCTTATCTTTAATCGATAAATACATAATTTGATTAAATATCAAGAAAAGCTTCCAAATAGTTGTAAAATTTGGCACTTAATGAAAAAAATGTATTTAACAATTTGACAATGTTAGAAGTTAGGTGAGCATAGTAACATCCTAAAAAACATATTCATGAGAAAAACTATATATTTGAAGTATTTCATAGCCATAGTTTTTTTCTTCCAAAAAAGACTGAT